CCCACTCCTTTTGGTTCAGATCTGGTTCAGTTTATGGTTCAAGATTGATCCTTGAAAATATGATTTTCTAAATAGGGAATACGATTCCCAGTTGAAGGGAGAGATAAAATTTTTGAAATTCGCCCCTTATTTCGCAATCTTTGGGCGTCCATAGGATGGATCTCTCATCCCTTCACAAAGTGGTAATCATCTCCATAAGGTGGGCAATAATGTTGCTATTCCACATATCTAAAATATTGTCGCAAACTTATGTTATAATGTTATTTCTTGTACTTCACATAACATTCGTAGCTTTCTTTTTGGAACTTGTCAATTCTAGTAATATTTTGTGTCGGTACCCATGGAAATGGAAATATGTTCTGGAAATATTAGGAAATTTATATAAATTTTAAATCATGCTGTCCATCTCATTATTATATTAAGGCAAACATAAAGACAAGTAAAAAGACCATACTACCCCTATGACATAAAACTAATATAAAGAATACTCCCCTTCAAATTGGGTTATAGATATCAATCATCCCTAACTTGTTACATAAATTAGTGTGTCAAGAACACTCTCAAAGAGAATATCAACCAACTACTTTAATTCTAAAAAAAAATCAACCAACTATTTTGAAGAGGTAATGTAAGGAACACAAATTTCACCCATCTTAAGCTTTTCTCTTTAAAGTGCTTGTCCACTTCAATATGTTTAGTTCTATCATGGAGGGTTGGATTATGAGAAAGCCATTGAAGTAGTCACTAGGAAACCCAACTCAAGGAGCATGTTGTTCACCCACAATATCTTTGCACTTCATGGGCTTTGGCTTGATACTCAGCCTCTACATTTGACCTAGCCAGTAGCTACTGTAGTTTGTTTATTACTTCACAAGATTACCCCCAATAAGTGTACAATAGCTAGATGTTAACCACTTATTCTAAATTGACCCAACCTAACCTGCATTACTATAGTCTTCAACCTTCAAATGCCTATTATTAACAAAGAGAAATACCCCTTCCAGGATGCCTTTTTAGGTGCCTTAGGTCCCTTTCTGCTAGTCTTATGAGATGCACATGGGGCATGTATATGTTGATTAAGAACACCAACTGCATATGCAATATCAGGATAAGTCATGGACAAGTACAACAACCATCAACAAGTCTTTGGATCTGTCTAACAGCAATAATGGTGTTACCCTCACAATCACCTAGCTTGTGATTAGGTTCAATGGGGGGTATTAGCTAGTTTGCATCCTGAAGAAGATCTAGGATATACTTCCTTGCTATGCTTCATAGAAATGGCACATTTGCATCCAACAGGTTCCTTCTCTTTAGGAAGATCCACCGGTTTCCATGTATTCTTGTATGGGGCATTGATCTCTTATTACATAGCATTAGACCACTTAGGGAATAGGGTATTTTAGTATTTATTAAAAACAAGGTGTTTAGTAGTACAAGATCTAACATCCTTATAATGAGCAATAGGAAGATCAAGATCACTAGTAGTAGGTGCAGAAATAGTACCTGGATAAGAAGTGGAAGGCAAGCAAGATTCTAGGTTTGCCTTCAGAGAGGTTGTTGGCTCAGGCAATCAGGTTTCTCCACACTTATAGGTGCATACTAGACCTTTTGATGACGTTGATAAGAAATATATGGCTATATGGGTTTAGAAACTAGAAGCAACAAGGGAAGCTTAATAATCTACCTCTCCTTATTACCACATATCCCACCCTAAGGAGGGGTAGGGTAGAATGATTGAGACTCAAAGAATGTGACATCCAAAGAGACATAGTACTTGGAAGAGATAGGATTATAACACTTGTAACCCTTTTGGCAAGTAGGATACCCTTTAAAAACACACGGAATTGACTTAAGATCAAGTTTCCCTAAGAAAGAGATAAATCATGGAGAAATTATCGAGGTACTTCCTTAGAGGATGACAGGCTATAGCACTTGAGGTATAGTGAATGCAATTCCCTAGTTCTTTTACTGTCAAAGTTAGAAAATGTTTTTTTTTTTTTGGACTCAAATTGTTTTGATGCAAGAATTTGGTCTCCTTCCATTGAGGGCCTTTTATCTTGTGCCTCCTTTTTCAACCTATTGGTTCATTTGGATTCTTTTTTTTTTTTGGGGGGGGGGGGTAAACTTTCCTGGTGAAAGAGATTTGGC